CTCTCTCTCTCTCTCTCCATCCTAGCAGTGCGTTGCCTCGTATAAATCAAGGTTGGCATCCCTCACAACACTGCCCTCATTACCATGTGAAAGGCGGCCACACCATTAATTCAACTCCCGACCCGAGGATTACGTCACGTCCCAAACTCTTGTGATCTAAACGTGGACAAGGTCGGGAAGAAACGCGTGAGGAGGTGATTCACTTAGTGCTCGCTGGTTTACCGACTCGAAAATCACAGTGTAAGGATAGATTTACTCTAGATTAACCGCGGTAACCTAACCTAACCTAACCTAACCTAACCTAACCTAACCTGACCTGACCTGACCTAACCTGACCTAACCTAACCTCCCCCAAATGCCATCAATGTGTGAAGTGAAATAAGCTAGGGTGTCTAATCCTCAGGTGATCCATAATAAGATTAGATGTAAGTCACACATTGGCTATTGGTGGTTTAAAAGCTCGACTACAACAACGAAACGACTTGTGATATAAAGTGTTGCATTTCAGGTAAATTTGATGTTAATTACGTATATTCAAAAACACCTGTACGTAAATAGCGGAGAAACGAAACAATTTACGAGTCAAGATAGTTAGTTAGTTACCTGGAGGCTCGGAACTTAACCCTAGGTGGCGAGCGAGGCCCATTGGCGTCGACTTCGATTACCGGAGTTCAAAGGTTCGAAACAATGCAGTCGAATTGATGGAAACGAGGCGCGTGAGAGCTATGTTATGTGATTGAAACGAGGAAGCTAACTCCGACATCCGAGATCAAAATAATGCTTGATGGAACTTGAAGTGGATTGGTTTAAATGCTTTGAAACGACTCGGAATTAAAATGTGAATGGGGGGTAATATTTTGGTGGGGGCTTTTAAAGAGTTAGTTAACCTTAGAATCTGATTTGTTTTAAGAGTTTCGAAACACTTCAGGAAAAGATCGAACCACCCCCCCCCCCCGCCCTCCTTACCCCACCTTTCCTTCCCCCTCATTCCCTTCCTTCCCTTTCACCCACTTCCTTCCCTTTCACCCTCTTCCTTCGTCCCTTCCTTCCCCTTCAACCCCTTCCTTCTCCCTCAACCCCTTCCCTCTTCCTTCCCCCTCACCCCCTTCCTTCCCCCTCTCCCTCCCTCCCCCCAAAAATAAAATTCCCGAAAAAGCAGAAGGAAGGAAGGAAGGAAGGAGGGAGGAACACCATTCATGAACCTCCAGATGTTACCCCTTATAGAGAGAGCGAGGAATGTTGGTGCTCTCTCTCTCTCTCTCTCTCTCTCTCTCGTTAATATTCTTCAGCCTATAACCATTATAAAAGACCCTATAACTCTCTATCCTTGCTGGAGACTTTTTCCTACATAAGTATATGAGTTTAAATGTATAATCACATATAACAATTATATATTAATGATAAAGTTACGCCAATTATGTTAAAAACTCTCCTCTTAAGTAAGGAGTTAATCGATTATTACACGGGTGCATTATACATATTGATTAATCTTCCATCTAATTATATGTAAAATAGGTAAATATATGGTTAAAGTCTCGAGGTATTGGTGGTTGTTTTAGGGCCTGGTTTGAGAATTCTTTAGTCCGCCCTTGTAAAACACACACCCCCGAACACTCCCGTTTTCTGCGGCTTTCTTTTGTTCTTTCCCCAGCCTGGGTGGTAGAAAATGATGCTCCTTCTCCTCGCTTTGATCTCTCTCTCTCTCTCTCTCTCTCTCTCGTGTCTTTGTTATCGTTATATTTGTTATACATACATTTGGTTACTGAAGATGTGACTATGAGATAATTTGGTTTTTGTTAGCTATTGTTGATGGTATGTACACACACACGTACAAACACACACACACACACACACACACACACACGTACACACACACACACGTACACACACACACATGCACACACACACACACACACACACACACACACACACACACACACACACACACACACACACACACACTCATCTATATTCCTCTCACCGTCTCACAGAACTCAGCACCTAAATTGGCTTAACCATAAAATCCGTCGCAGCTGTCACAAGAGATGACAGATTTGTGAGCGTCGAGAATTGGTTGTTGGCACAGTTGTTGGGAAATCTGTGTTTGAGGAGAAAATATGTGTTTGGGGAGAGAATCTGTTTGTGGAGGAAATCTGCGTCTGAGGGAAAAATCTGCAGTTGTGGGATGACTTTATGTTTTGGGAAAATTTGTTGTTGTGTCGAAATCTTTCTTTAACTGTTGGAAAAATCTGTGTTTGTGGATGAATCTTTAGCTGGAAAGAGAGAGAGAGAGAGAGAGAGAGACAAGAAAAGATGATGGGAAAAATAGGAGACAGACAGACAGAGAATAATTAACACAAACAAGACAAGAAAAGATGATGGGAAAAATAGGAGACAGACAGACAGACAGACAGACAGACGGACGCCACTTTCAATATATCACCGTGTGTTACAGGAAGAATGACACACACACACACACACACACACACACACACACACACACACACACACACCCCGCTCATAAGACGATAGATCAAGGTATGCAAATTTCAGGTGTGAGTCACAATAGTTACCCGACACCTGAAGCATATATCACCGCCCCTGTCACCACCTGTCGGAGAGGAGAGGGACCACAGCTATTGTTTGTGTGAGGATAATGTTAAATTGTTTGTGTGAGGATAATGTTAAATTGTTTGTGAGGATAATGTTAAATTGTTTGTGTGAGGATAATGTTAAATTGTTTGTGAGGATAATGTTAAATTGTTTGTGGAGGATAATGTTAAATTGTCGGTGAGGATATTGTTAATTGTTTGTGGAGGATAATGCTAATTGTTTGTGTGAGGATAATGTTAAATTGTTTCAGAGGATAATTAAATTGTTTGTGAGATATTGTTAAATTTGTTTGTGAGGATAATGTTAAATTGTCGTGTGGAGGATAATGTTAAATTGTTTGTGAGGATATTGTTAAATTGTTTGTGTGAGGATAATGTTAAATTGTTTGTGAGGATAATGTTAAATTGTTTGTGTGAGGATAATGTTAAATTGTTTGTGAGGATAATGTTAAATTGTTTGTGTGAGGATAATGTTAAATTGTTTGTGTGAGGATAATGTTAAATTGTTTGTGAGGATAATGTTAAATTGTTTGTGAGGATATTGTTAAATTGTTTGTGTGAGGATAATGTTAAATTGTTTGTGAGGATAATGTTAAATTGTTTGTGTGAGGATAATGTTAAATTGTTTGTGAGGATATTGTTAAATTGTTTGTGTGAGGATAATGTTAAATTGTTTGTGAGGATAATGTTAAATTGTTTGTGAGGATAATGTTAAAATTTATCGTTTGTGATGGTGGTAGTTCACGTTTTCATCATTACAATGTTGATTTACGGATTTTTGCGAGAAAATAAAGTTAAAATTAAAAAAAAGTAATAATAGTTTACGAGAGTATTTTAAACAATAGGAAGTTTGTATAATTATGGACAAAAACAAAAGTACAGAATTATTTTATATCTGTTAAAAAAAGCGATTATAATATTGTTTTTGCCGTCACTAATGTAGAAATAAATTGTTGTTGGTTATAATGTGACAGATAATACAGTGTACAGTCGCGATCAAAAGTTTCTGGACCACTTAATATTTAATATGTGGGTATATGAGGACCATTAGCCAAGAGGGAGTGAGATTTTAATGTGTTTTATATATCTTTGTCTGAGTATTAATGTGTGTGTGTGTGTGTGTGTGTGTGTGTGTGTGTGTGTGTGTGTGTGTGTGTGAGTCGTTGCCTCTCTATTAATGTATTCATGTATGTAGATGGCCACTTACCAGTCCAGATAACGGGGTCGTTAGATCACCTGATGGATGCATGGATGAGTGAGGTGGTGGTGGTTGTTTGTGTGAGGTGGATGAGTGAGGTGGTGGTGGTGATTGAGGTGGATGAGTGAGGTGGTGGTTGTTTGAGGTGGATGAGTGAGGTGGAGGTGGTTGTTGTTTGAGGTGGATGGTGAGGTGGAGGTGGTGATTGAGGTGGATGAGTGGGGTGGTTGTTTGGTGGATGAGTAAGGTGGAGTGGTTGTTGTTTGAGGTGGAGGTGGTTTGTTGTGTGGGGTGGATGGTGAGAGGTGGTGGTTGTTTGTGTGGTGGATGAGTAGGTGGGTGGTTGTTGTTTGAGGGTGGATGAGTGGTGGTGGTGGTTGTTTGTGTGGGGTGGATGAGTGAGGTGGAAGTGGATGGATGGATTGCTGTAATTAGTCAGGTCAGGTTAATTAAAATCAAGGTGAGACAAGCTAGGTGTTGTGTATTGGGGGGCTAATCCTCAGGTGACCCAACCTCTTAGCATCACCCGTCTCTTGTGTTGACAGTATTCAGGGTGTATTGGTGTCAGCGGTGACGTCAGAGAGGAGAAAAGACGATAGCAGCCAATCAAGACCCTGACACCTCTGACGTCATCTCAGCCACACCCCGGCTTCTTGTGTGTGTGTGTGTGTGTGTGTGTGTGTGTGTGTGTGTGTGTGTGTGTGTGTGTGTGTGTGTGTGTGTGTGTGTGTGTGTGTGTGTGTGTGTGTGTGTGTCATGAGAACTATCTATCTGTGTTTCTATATCTGGCCACCCAGGAGAGAGAGAGAGAGGGGGGGATCCTGTTGTGTCCGTGAGATATACAATATTGAAACCCTGTGACGTGTTGCTGGTGGCCCCACCTGTCTGTCTGTCTGTCTGTCTGTCATTGTCTCTCTAATCTGTGTCTGTCATCTGTCTGTGTCTGTGTCTGTCTGTCTGTCTGTCCTTCTGTCTGTCTGTCCTTCCGTCCGTCCACCCATCCATCTTTATCTGTCTGTCTGTCATCTACACTTGTTGCTGTCTGGCCCACCTGTCTGTCTGTCCGTCCGTCCGTCCGTCCACCCATCCATCTTTATCTGTCTGTCTGTCATCTACACTTGTTCCTGTCTGTACTCTCTGTCTGTCTCTGTCTTGCCCACATGCATTTTTCAGTTTTTCTTTTTCAGAGACTAGAGTTGGATGACTGGTTGTTGATGGCTGTGACTGATTTTGTGTTGGATGACTAGTTGCTGGAGTTGGATGACTGGTTGTTGAATGACTGGGTGACTGGTTTCTGGTGTTGGATGACTGGTTGTTAAGTTGGATGTTTGGTTGTTGGATGACTGGGTGACTGGTTGCTGGTGTTGGATGACTGGGTGGCTGGTTTCTGGTGTTGGATGACTGGGTGGCTGGTTGCTGGTGTTGGATGATTGGGTGACTGGTTGCTGGTGTTGGATGACTGGTGACTGGTTGCTGGTGTTGGATGACTGGGTGACTGGTTTGCTGGTGTTGGATGACTGGGTGTTGACTGTTTGCTGGTGTTGGATGACTGGTTGACTATTTTGCTGGTGTTGGATGACTGGTTGCTGGTGTTGGATGACTGGTGACTGGTTGCTGAGTATTGGATGACTGGTTGCTGGTGTTGGATGACTGGTTGCTGGTGTTGGATGACTGGTTGCTGGTGTTGGATGACGGTTGCTGGTGTTGGATGACTGGGTGACTGGTTGCTGGTGTTGGATGACTGGTTGCTGGTGTTGGATGACTGGGTGACTGGTTGCTGGTGTTGGATGACTGGGTGACTGGTTGCTGGTGTTGGATGACTGGGTGACTGGTTTGCTGGTGTTGGATGACTGGTTGCTGGTGTTGGATGACTGGGTGACTGGTTGCTGGTGTTTGGATGACTGGGTGACTGGTTGCTGGTGTTGGATGAGTGGGGACTGTTTGTAGTTGGATGCTGGTGCTTGGGTGGGTGGTGCCATGTGCCAACTGTTGCCATACATTATGTTTATCCCGTGAGACGTACACCTTAATTCTCTCACTCTCTCACACACACACACACACACACACACACACACACACACACAGCCGCCACATAACATTTAATTTAAACTCTTAAATAATTCCCAGGTATTGTCTTGATAAATTTTACAGTGTTGTAATGTATATTGAAGTGAGGTGTTTCATCTCTCTCTCTCTCTCTCTCCTCTCTCTCTCTCTCTCTCTCTCTCTCTCTCTCTCTCTCTCTCTCTCTTCTCTTCCTCACCTCTCTCTTCTTCCTCCCCACATTCCCTCCCCTCCCCCTATGCAGTGAGCACCCCCACCATGATGGCAGTGGCACCCCACATGATGGCAGTGGGCACCCCACCATGATGGCAGTGGCACCCCACCATGATGGGGTGGCACCCCCTGTGTGGCATGGCACCCCCACCATGATGGCGTGAGCACCCCACTGTGGCGTGGCCCCCATGTGGTGGGTGGTTGGTGGTGTGGGGGACCCCACCATGATGCAGGGCTGATGGTGAGACCTGTTATTCTCAAAACTGCTCCTCCCATTAACGGACTCATGGCTCAGCTGTGGACATCAACGACTGGGTGTTGATGGGGCTCTGCCCTCTTCTGGCACTCTTGGGCGGCACTCAAGCACTGGTTGACTACTGGTGATCTTCTTGGTTGACTGGTTGACTATTGGTCGTCTTCTTGGTTGACTGGTTGACTATTGGTCGTCTTCTTGGTTGACTGGTTGACTATTGGTCGTCTTCTGGTTGACTGGTTGCTATTGGTCGTCTTCTTGGTTGACTGGTTGACTGTTGGTCTCGTCTTCTTGGTTGACTGGTTGACTGGTTATTGGTTGACTGTGACCATTGGTCGTCTTGGTCTGACTGGTTGGTCGCCTCTTCGGCACTCCCTGTATAACCCTGTGAGATCAAGGTCGGAAAACTGATGGCGATTGAGCGGTGTATATGAGGCGGTGTATGAGTGGGTGAGGCAGCGGTGTATGGGGCGGTGGCAGCGGTGTGTGGGGCGTGAGGCAGCGGTGTATGAGTGGGTGAGAAGCGGTGTGTGGGGCAGGTGAGGCAGCGGTGTGTGGGCAGGTGGGGGGTGTGTGGTGGGTGGTGGCGGTGTGGGGCGAGCGAGGCAGCGGTGTATGGGGCAGGTGAGGGCAGCGGTGTATGAGGTGGGTGTGGGCAGCGGTGTGTGGTGGGTGAGCAGCGGTGTGTGGGTGGGTGAGGCAGCGGTGTGTGGGGGTGGGGGTGTTGGTGGGTGAGCAGCGGTGTGTGGGGTGGGTGGGCAGTGGTTGGGCAGGCAGGCAGCGGTGTATGGGCGTGGGGCGTGTATGGGGGTGGGGCAGCGGTGTATGAGGCGGTGAGCAGCGGTGTAGGCGGGTGGGCAGCGGTGTATGAGGCGGTGGGCAGCGGTGTGTGAGGCAGTGAGGCAGCAGTGTATGGGAGGTGGGGCAGTGTTGGGGGGTGAGGCGGGTGTATGGGTGGGTGGGGCAGCGTGTATGGGGTGGGTGGGGGGGGGTGAGGCAGCGGTGTTGAGGTGGTGGGCGGCGGTGTGTGTGGTGGGTGGGGCATGTATAGGGGTGAGGCGGGGTGTTTGGGTGAGGCGGTGTATGTGGGGTGGGTGAGGCAGCGGTGTGTGGGAGGTGAACAGCGGTGTTGAGGTGGGTGAGGAGGGGTGTATGAGAACAGGTAATAAACCTCGATATTGGCTGCAGAACGTAACATGGTCACTGAGGAGACACACATGGGAAATGTCTTCAATCTCGCACTCGTTCAGCATCTAAGAGCCGTTCACCTATGAAATAAAATCGGTTTTGTCTGTGAAGACCTGCATCCGGTCTCTAAACAGGTAACGTCAGGGTTATCTGAGTTCTTACTGCAACGGCACCTGCGCGTCAATCCTGCGGCAGTGGGATACCACTACTGTTAAGCAGACCCCAAGTCCTCTCTCGTGCGCACATTATTTCCTGAGTGAACCTCCTCGCGCTCTCCTCCCAGGTGTGGGGTGTTGTTCTTTTCTAGCAGTGGTGACGGTGGTTCTCTGGGTCGCTGAGAATCCTAGGAAAGGTAGTTTAAAGTCCCTTATTGGATAATTGTGTTGTTTAGGATGAAGTATTATTCAGTGGTGTGGTTAGTGGACATATCCTCGTGTCCTTCCTTAAGTGGGGGGTGGGTGGGGGTGGGGCGGATGTCAGGGATACACGCGTCTTGTCAGCTAAAACACTAAATATTAAACTAACTTGTGGTACTACTGCTTGGTGTTTGTCACACCACCGACTATCTGTCTCACACAAACCAGCCTCTCCACCGACAGCCTGTCTCACACACCGACCAGCCTGTCTCAACCACCCGGCCCAGCCTGTCTCAACCACCTGACAACCCCATCCCCGTGACCTGTCTCACACACCCGACCCAGCCTGTCTCACAATATATCTCACCCAACCCAACCTGTCTCTCGTCTTTCTTGACATCCCTTCCCTCCCCTTCCCCCCCCCTCTCCTTCAGCCACCGTGAGCATATTCCAGGTTCACAGGAGCGTCGACAAAATTTGCCACGTAGTCGACTCGTGAAAATTAGTCAATTTGTTTCAGGCCATTCACTCACTGCCTCCCCACCCCCGAGGACCTGGCGTCGGCCCTCAGCCTGGGGTGAGGAGCCAATCACTCTGCCTCCCACCTGAGGACTCCTGGCGTCACGGCCCTCAACCTGGGGTGGAGAAGCCAGGTTCAATCACGGAATAAAGATATCTTAACATGGTTTTACTGTAACCAATATGCTTCTAG